TGTGACGAGGTTGAACCGAATGCATACGCCTTCCCATATGTTGATACATGATCTCGTTTTGTTTTGGGGTTCTTCTCCTTGTGTAGTGGAAGAGTTCATGATCAGGTGACCAGGCCCGGAAGCGCACTATGGGGCGCTGACTTCCCAATGGAACTAAGGGAATATGGGAGAAAAAGCAAAGGTGAGAGGCGAGCGAGATCTTTGTTGAGTTGTTGCGGCGTGTGTGAACTTGATATGCAAATGTGAAAAATGGGCGTTATTTTCCGAGAGTGTTGAGAATCGATGTGAACCTGTATCGCATGAACATTGCTACGAACACATGGTGTAATGAAAGTTGACTTTTGGAGACTATGATAGCGACAAGTTGTTCACTATCATTCATCCAGGCATAGAAAACGCACATTGTTGACATTCGCATGTCAAATTGGCACACACTGTATATAGGAGTTCTCAAATCGCATATTCAGGTTTTCTGAAAAAAAGTAGAACTGCATTTCTGTTGGTTCTTAGGTATGCCTTGCCACGCTGATCTACAGATGTACAAGTCGATGGAGACGGACTGGGAAGTTGTCGTAACGGTTTCTAACTCGGCTGAGTCCAGATGTGAATTTACGTGGACGAATAAGAACGGCGAGAAGCGTGTTGTGCGTACTACTGCGAATTCAGGTGAGGATGGTATCTTGTAACTGTAGACTTGCACGCATGCCCATGCTTCGCTCCGCTGTTATAGTATGTACTATTTTTCAGTTACGCTTGTACGACCCAATTCTGCAGTACATTGTGTGACATCAACGGCTGGCGGTCGCAGGGAAATGTTGAAGATGATTTTCACGGGCGATTATAGAAAGGATGGCAATTTTTGGGTAGGCGTGCAAATCGACGCATACCACTCCTTTCGGAACTCGTGTTAGTATAGTTAGTAGACATTAGACTCAACACGTGAGAAAGGCGTCTCGAAATCCATACCGACTGGAGCACAGCGGAGCGAAGTGTTGCACGTTGTGCATTTTCGTGCTACTTTCAGCATTACACTGGTAATAAGTGTGGTAAGAAGAACAGGAATCGGCGTCTCATGAGCGAACGAAGCGAAGAGATGATGAAGGCATACAGCGAAAAGAGTGATGAACTTTAATATGTCGCGCGCCATGAAATTATCAGCTGGATCAAATCCACAGTGTGGATTACGCACTCAAATTTTCATTTTTCATATCGACGAGGAACAGATGTTGAGTTTTTGGGAGAAGAGAATTTCCACTAAGTCACAACTGAGAGGTGTTTTTGCGATGTATACGGTATGAACCAAACCGTTATGCGAAATAATATTTTCAACGCCGTCAATTTTTAGGAGTTCGAAAGTCAAATTTGAGTAATATCAACATGATGACAATGTGAATCGATTGACGCCAACGTTTTAGAAGCGTTTCGTAGTCTATAGTCGTATTACTCTCAAATTGGAGAGAATCTAGATATGCATAACGGTTTGGTTCGCACTGTGTATTTCTCGTTTCCACCGTGATTATTCTCAGAAGTGAATTATTTTTCACAGAACTCTGAAGTTTCCGAAGTCTCGATAGTGATGCGGGAAACACACATATTGTGCAAATGATTCGTACAGCATGTTGAGAATATGTTCATGGAATTTACTCACTTCCAAAGAAGTATACTATTACAGAGAACTGCTTGGAATTCGTACACTAAGACTGAGAACTCGAAGAGCTCGGCTACTCGAGCACTTGGCTGGAGGTTGCTTTTGGTATGTTCGTAATCACCTCTTCATCTCAGCTGCTTTATGGGTTTCTAACGAATAATAGTCCGCGTGATGGGAAGGAGGGGTGTCTTACGTCAGTAGTCAACAAATGAGGTAGGTATCTCAAATCCATAGATCCTAGTAGAAAGGGGACTCATTGGTTGGCGACTCGGGCAAGTAGTTTTCTGTAGACCGAAAAGAGCATCCTCGGTTCAGCCGACATGGCTGTGGGCTTGGAAACACTCTCCCTTCGTTCTGGGTGTCCGTTGATGCTCATAATTTTTAAGGGTCTTGCTAACGGAGCCCTTACTGTCCTTTTTATGTACGACTTTGATTGGTCACGGCGGAGCGAAGCGATACATGTTTGGATATTTTATGGTTTCAAACTAGCAGCGATATTTCGTTCGTCAATTTTCACTATTGTATTACTCTCCCATTTGGTTTCTCTTCCTGTTCCACCAATCATGATGATGACGAACCCGAATCTTGTGAGTGGCTCTCACGGGATTCTTTCGAGTGAGTTACTTGTCCGTATCTTTCTGCGCATGCGTGCAAGCTCTGTGATTATTATGACCATTTATAGGCCAACAGTTGATAGGAGGGCAGTCACCTGGAGACGATGAGGGTATTGCCGATATGCAGGTGTCCAGATTCGTCACTAAATCTACATCTTAATATCACCATATTGTAGATTTCGCTGAAGGCATGCCGTTACAAGGAGCTAGTTCATAAGAGTTCGTATTTGGCCCTACAGAATCATCAGCTTATGCAAGATATTGAAAATATGAAATTCGAAGTAAGCGAATCTCGCACGCATCATCTTGGAGACTCTCACAAGAAGGATTTGTGTCAAGTCGACTGAATGCGTTTACATTATTCGAATTATATATCCTCGCTGTCGGCGATCATCTTGATATCATCGATAGAGATGATGGTAAATTTAGGGCTAGACTAGAGAAAAAAGGAAAGAAATGGCATATATACTGTAGAAGGATTAAACTGTGACCATTTTCTTGGTCGTGTAATATTCCGCAGAATATTATGAGAGTTATTTCTGCATGTCGTTGCCAAATCTCGCGAGAAATCCACTTGCGTTGACAGGAAAAGCGCACACATGTACCCTAGAATGCTGACCTTTTGAATCGCAGGCGAACCGAATGCTGCCAACGGGTAGAACTGCTGCTACCCCGTTGAAGACAATAGACGAGGGTGAGAGAGATTATAAAAGTACGCCCTTGAAAGGCTGATGAAGATACGTCTATTGATGGGCTTTCGGACGACTCGCCAGGGAATAAAAGTAACCGTACAAGTCTGATGGACCTCCTCAACGAACTGGAGGCGAAATTGGATAAGTCGAAGGGCCGACTAAAGGAGTTCTCAGATCGTAGGTTCCCATCGGTCAGGCTTCTGATATTGTGAAGTCAGTTCCCTCCTTACCGTCATCGACAATAGACTCGCTGGCCTCCCATCCGGTATGATACCACACTTCTCTCGAATCCTCTGGCTTCTCTCCTTCAGAGTCCTCCGCCGCTTATGATGGCATCCCAGCCGTTCGATTTCCCATCCATTTTTCAAGACTTCCACCAGAGTTGGTCAGAATCTCATCACTCTACTTGAAATTACCACAAACAGATTTTTCTCATCGTCCGCTCTCGTTGACGACGCCCTCAATCACTAGACAGTTCACCAACCTCTCGAGCAGTCAGTATCTTGGCAGCAGCTCCAAAGGCTCCTTCGTACCTCCACCAACAGTCAATGTTCTGTCATCATCACTTCAACCGTTTGACGTCCTCACGAGAAGCACCATGCTAATGCTAGACCAACAGGTATACCAGATTCTGGTGGTTCTACGAGCATCGTATTTCAGCAGGGGGCTCCTGATTCGTGGATCCCTCGAGCTCCTCCGCCCACACTGTATGGGAACGTCCTCCTATGGCATTTGGTAGGACCATTGGTGGTTGTGATGAGCGTTCCCTGCAGGGTCGACTGGTGGCTGTTATTCGTGGGCTGCAGGCGACGCTGTTATCATTTGCTATGCGGAAATTATGTAGGCTCGTTGCTGGTGCCGGAAAAAAGTTTTCGAAAAGAGCAGAAAGTTTCCTACAATAATTTTTGATGACACAAAATCTAAGTTTGCTGATTGCTATAATTTTAGCTTACAACGAAAGCGCGGAGAAAAGCGGAGCGAAGCTGAGAGAGGAGAAATTCGAGAGAGAATTTGGTGAGGCGTCAAGAAAGGTGAATGACCGAACCGTTGGTTGGTAGAGGAAGGTCGACTGGGAAGAAAAGTTGATGAATACAGACGACGGGATGAGCTTAGAAATCATGCTAACAACGCGGGTGGGTCGAACCAGTGTAATTTGAAGAGGCGATGTTTTGGTCAGGGCCACTGGAATTGTATTTGGCGCATAATACTTACGACCATCACTCTACCAGCCTCCTTCGCTCCGCCTTCCGTTTGATCACCGAGCTGAGAATTTATATCAACGAGGGAGCCGCGATGACTATTGGGAGGAATGTTGGTGGAATAACTACCGCTAGAGAGGCCAAGTACCCGGCCGGAGCTCAAATGATTCGGAATGTCATCAATTCCTCTATGCAACGGGAGGTATTCGATCGAACATCTCAGCGCATTTTATTTATTTATTCAGCTTCGCTCCGCCTTGCGGAATCTCTATCGGAAGGCCCGAGGCGCACGACTGCGAGCGACTT